TGCATGCGGCCGAGCATTGTCCTGCAAAATGATGGGTGGGTTCTGCAGAAAGTATCACCGCTTCTTTCTCAAAGCTGGTCACAGGTTGTGTTCCAAAAATGAACAGTAATACTGCACATTGACAGTCTGCTGTCGGGGAACGGTATGCGTTAGGATAACACCATCAGTCGTACACGAGAACCACCATAACTTTCACATTGCTGGGGTTCTGAAGAACTTTTGATTTTCGTGGTGACCCACAATGACACCATTCATTCAATTGGTGTTTCATTTGTGGCTCATACGATTTAGCCCATGTCTCATCCAGTGTAATGATATGGCATAAGAAAGCCTCTCCTTCGTGCTCAAAGCGCTCCAAGTGGTTACGAGCAGTGTCGTATCATAGCCATTTGTGCATTTCCATCAAATTATGTGGAACCCATCATGATGCAGTTTTTCTCATGCCCAGGCGTTCCTTCAGAATCTGAAGCACAGTCGTATGTGCTAATCCTTTATCTCAGGCCAGCTCACGAATTGTATGGCATCGATTACTCTCCAGTAATGCAGAAAGAGCGTACACTTCTTCACTGACACTAGGACGATCTGGCCGACACATGTTTGCCACATTTTCGCATCCCTCATTGGAGGCTTTTACCCACCTTGCCACTGTTCTGTAAGGCAATGCAGATTCCCCGCAAGCCTGTTGAAGACCTTGATGACGCTGTCGTGCTGTACCGCCTCTGGCACATTCAATCTTTATCCAACTCTGTTGTTCCTGTTTCGAAAACATCGTGACAACACTACATTAGACCGCCAGCTAACACGAGGCTCTGTTCTTCTTGTTACTGCGCGTACGCATGATATAGGAAGGGAGAGTCCATTTGCTCTGAGGTAAGGTAGGTATGTAATTAACGTGTGGTATAAGCGACATTATTTGGTTCCGTTGCATGGCATCTCTACAGCAGTGTTGCCACTATTACAGTTCCAACCCTTGTATTACTGAGTGTCATTGTGAGGAACACGGCTTTGTGTCCAGGAGAACATCTGCCTTCTGGTGTGGAAGAATGAAAATATGATGCCGTGTGTGTCAAGAATGAAGAATCAGTTAGTGCTTTGTTAAAGAAAAACTTTATATAGAGTCTGGTAATGACATGGACATGGAGAATGAAAGAGAAACTGCGAGTGAAGAATTGAGCAATGAAATGTCTGAAAGTGGGAGCAAGAATGGAACAAGTGCTATGCTTACTTATTTGTGGGAAGAAGTGACAATGTGCGACAAGAAACCCAAGGCATACAATTTACTAAAAATGTAGGGCAACAATTTAACCTATCAGATGCAGATTATTTTAATTTATTTTTCACTGATGAACTATTGAATAACGCTGTTATAGAGACAAACAGGTATGTGAGACACAAAATTTCGGAACTTCACCTTAGCTCGAGGTCCATTTGGAGTAGCTGGTCTGATGTGTCAGTTCCTGAAATGAAGGCCTTTTTGCGTATAATTATAAATATGGTCCTAATGCCATTACCCAACATAAAAGACTATTGCTCTAGTGAGTGGGCACAACACAAATACCATTTTTTGATGATGTAATGTCTAGAGTTGGCTCTTTGCAGATATTTTGGTTGAGTCATGTGGGAAATGAAACACCGAAGAAAGCAATCAGGCCATCAAAAGAACAAGGAAAATACACAGAGTGACAGAATATACAGAGAAACAGTTTCAGAAATATTATGTGGAGGTAAAAACGCTGAAATAGATAAATCAACAGTTTGGTTCAAGGGCAAAATAATTTTTGAAAGTTATAATCAAGAAAACCTATAAAGTGGGGCCTCGGATTATTTGTATAGCTGACGGTGACACTGGTTATGTTCATAGTATAATTCCAAATTACAGAAAAGTTACAGGTGGCATGTGTAACTTGCCCTACACAGAAAAACCGTTCATTTCTAGAACACTTCTTTCCTTGATGGACAGACTAGAACTCAGTGTGTCTGGTGTTGAAGGCTACCGCATTTGCACTGGCAAATGTACTAGTGTTCAGTTGGCCCAAGAACTGGACAAATGAGAATTCCACACAACAGGCACTATTATTGCTGGTAGAGTTGGCAGTCCAAAACCCATGATGAAGGGTGCCATGAAGCAAATGAAGAGTGGGGACACTTTTGCCCACAGAGGAGGGAATGTCCTGCTAACGGCCTGGAAAGACGAGGGTGGTTCTCATGTCTACATATCATGACACATCAATGGAAAAAATAGTGACCATTCAGAAAGGGGAGCAGCAGAAAGAAATTCAAAAGCCAATGTGTACTCGACTATAGAAAGCATATGGGTGGTGTGTATCGCAGTGATCATTACTGTGCAACATATGCTTTCTTTTGTAAATCTCTGAAGTGGGGAAGAAAACTCTTTTCTGGTGGAAGTGTGCTTTGTAAATTCAAACATATTTTGTGCATAAGGTCTAAAAGTTTGTGGTGATGATATATTGCTAAAAGTATTATGTTTTTGGGCATTATCCCATCGTCTTGTTTATTTAAAAAAAAAAACGTCCTGTTTTCTTTTCTAAACATCGTTTTGGGGACTGGATTCTGTCCCCGTCCTCAGGTAAAACCTACTCAGTGGAGTCCAATAGACAGCTAGCCCATATCTCCTGACGCCTGTGCCAGTTTCAGAAGGGGTATGTAAACCAAACACACAGCAGCAGACATAAGGCACTCATGGGAGTGAAACAAGTGGCACATGTCAAGTGTTGACGAGCTCGTGTTGAAAATCTTGTAGGCGATGTGTGCAACCCAAGAAGGGGTCACATCCTGGGTCAGCGGAGAGAGAAGAGAAAGAGAAAGTAAATACAGCGCCTCACATCCTCTACCACTATGAAAAAAAGAAACAAAGACTGCATTGTAAGGTTGAGGGAGCCAGAAAAGAAATATAAAGATCTGTATAAATCAACTACATGTGCCCTGGGGAATGTTTCAAAAGATATCACACTCGCAAGAACTTCAACAAGTTTTAATGTAGGTCCCATAGTTTATTGTGTTTATGTTGTCTTGCATTGTGCCCTTGTTGCGCCAATTTTTTTAGCAAAAGAGCTTGCATAGTGGCTCTGAGGGCATTTAAAATCCCTTGATGACCTGGTTGCAAAATTTTTCCAAAGTCAACCACCATAAAGTGTTAAGAGACTAGAGATCTTAACTCTTCCATGTGAATATAGGTATATTTCCTTTTATAAACTTTATTACAAATAACGAATGTTTTCAGACCATTGCAGATGTACATAAGCAATATATTCATAAACTAAGTGCTAACCTCTCATGCTCTCAGAAAAGGACATTTTATGCTGGGATGAAAATTTTTAATAATGTGCCATCTGCTCTCAAATGAAGAAACATGAATTAAAATAGCACTGAAATGATACTTAAACACACACTCATTCTATTCTGCTGGGGAACACTTATTGCTTAAAAAATTACTTGTCCATTTATAATTGTGTAAATGACATTAGTTGACAGTTTGGGGTATATATGTGGATGTACTTTTGAATAGCCCTGTGTTTTCTTATGTGAAAGCTTCAGTTGTACTGTGTGCATATTTTTGTATATGTGTGAGATTCCACATCCTGTAGTCATTAACTTTTGACCCAAGGAATGCAATGTAATATAATGTGATGTAATTATGGCCTGAGTAGAAAGCCTGACTGCAAGCAAACAAAAACCTTGACTGATTTCAGATGAAGACGACTTTGATAGAAACCTGGCTGCTGCAAACCTGGAGATGTTAGTTGCCAATGCAGGCAGTGACAACCCTGCTGTTCAGCTGAATGCCGTCCAGTCTGCTCGGAAGCTCCTATCCTCAGACCGCAATCCTCCAATTGATGCCCTTATTGAAAGTGATATACTTCCAATATTGGTTCGCTGCCTTGAGTGCCATGACAAGTGAGTTGTACCCTGACAGCATTGGTATAAGTCTATGAAATCTCAAACAGCTCAATGGAAGTTGATTCTGTGTGTGTTGTTACAGTCCGTCTCTCCAGTTTGAAGCAGCGTGGGCACTGACAAACATTGCAAGTGGAACATCTGCACAGACACAGGCAGTAGTAGCTGCTGGAGCAGTGCCCCTTTTTCTTTCTCTGCTCCTATCATCCCACCAGAATGTATGCGAGCAGGCCGTCTGGGCACTAGGTATGTTAATATTGATAAAGTATGAAGTTTGAGTGTGTTCTTTGTCCTGACATGTGCTTAATGTATCCTTTGTATCATGTGTAATGGCTTCGTCATTTGTAAAAGTTTTCACTTTCCATTGGAGGAACTTCAGAATTATCCATTAATCTTCCTGTGGCTTTGAATGCAGGATGAATGATATGCTGCCAAAAGTCATGGAATAGCAGTATGTAAAATTATTTTTAAGTGGCGCCACCGTCCCTTGACGCTTGGAATGCCCAGAGCAGTATCAGTTGTGAGGTGTTCTCTCATGAGTCAGATTGGACACCAGCCAGCTTGCTCATGGCAAGCTGACATGAATTATCAGAGTTCGAACGGGGCATGATAGTGGGTGCCAGGCGGATGGGTCATTCCATTTGCGAAGTTGTGCGCTCATTCAACATTCCTCAATCCACGGTGTCACATGTGTACCGGGAATACCTTGTGGAAGGCATTTCCACCCACCATGGACAGCGCAGTGGCCGACCACGGGTGCTTAATGATCGTGACCAGAGGTGTCTAGCTAGAATTGCCCGTGGTAACAGACAAGCGACACTGGCTGAAATCACATCCACATTCAATGCAGGAGGTACCACACGCATATGCAGCAGGTCAGTGCAGCGTTTTTTAGCTTCCATGGGATATGGGAGCAGAAGACCAACCAGAGTGCCTCTGTTAACACCACGACACTGGACACAGCAGCTCACCTGGGCTTGTGGCATCGCTAATTGTACCCTGGAGGATTGGCAACGTGACGTCCAATGAGTCACGGTACCAGTTGTTTTGGGCGAATGGTAGGGTTCGGGTGTGGTGCAGACCCCATGAGGCCATGGACCCCAGTTGTCAACAAGGCACCATGCAGGCTGGTGGTGGTTCCATACTGGTGTGGGGTGTGTTCATGTGGCATGAGTTGGGTCTGCTCGTCCACCTAAACACGTCACTGACTGGTGACCACTACGTTACACTGCTTGGTGACCATTGCAGCCCTTCATGGACTTCATGTACCCCCACAATGATGGGATATTCCAGCAGGACAGTGCACTGTGTCATCGGGCCAGAGTTGTCCAGAATTGGTTCGAGGAGCATTCTGGAGAGTTCCGACGAATGGTGTGGCCACCATGTTTGCCCGATATGAACCCAATCGAGCATTTATGGGACGTGGTGGAGAGGTCCATTTGCACCCAAAATCCTACACCTACAAATACCAAGGAGCTGTGGGCAGCTATCCAGACGGCATGGCTCAACATCTCTCCAGAGGTCTTCCGTCCACTTGTGGAATCGATGCCATGTCGAGTTGCTGCACTTCACTGGGCTAGAGGGGGTCGTACACGATACTAGGTACCTATCCCATGACTTTTGGCACTTCAGTGTATGTTACAATACAATAGACTTGTAGTTGCTTTTGTGATGATGAAGTTTGAGATTTTGATGGAAAGTCACCATGTGTTACTCTAATTGGTATTGACTTGGATGGGGGGGAGGGGGTACTTCCAGTCACTTCAAGTTCCCCAGTCACTGCTAAGTCAGTTGTGTGGTGATGGTCTTGCTGGGGCCCATCAGGGAGCCCTGACTTTAACACTAGCCAGAACCATTTTGGTTGAGAACCTTGTGATGTCTATAGGTTCTAACCACGCAGAGCCAAAAATCTCTATTCTGTGCTCACCCGGAGTGGGTCATTGACAGTATGTGACAGTGTAACACCTTACAGTGTTACGTACCAGAGAACAGTGCTCTTCATAGGTTCAGTTTGTCACCTTTTTCTTGCTTTGTACACTCTTTGACACCAAAGATGTAGGCAGTATATTCCTCTGAACTGTCAGTGGACTTCTATCAGACTAACTACGTTAACTTACGGAGCTGAACCCTTCTTGAGAAGCTACCAGTTGTGCAGCTACTCAAGAAATACCCAGCATAATATAGAACCTTAAAGTTTGTTAGCGTGTTTGCAAGAGCCCTCCACTGCTCCTTATCCCGAGCCAGAACAATCCAGTCTATACCAGCCCATCCTATCTCTCTAAGATACAATTTTAATGTTATTCGCCCACCTATGCCTTGCTCTTCCTAGTGGCCTCTTACAGAACCATAGGCAAAATTATAGTCTTGTATACTAACTTTATGTTTTTAGACAGCAGACTAGAAGACAAAAGGTTCTGGGCTGAATGGTAGCAAGTATTACCAGAATTCGATTGCCTCTTAATTTTCTCATGAATCAAATGTTGATTTATTACTGTTGTTCCCAAATATTTGAACTGTGCCACATTTTTTAAGGATCTGTTAAATATCTTTATGTCATGATTTTGCTCTGCATTCAGTTTTCTCTGCGTCCTCTTAAATTCATTTATTCCACTATACAGTTCTCTAATGTTCTTGTTCTTACTGTTTGTTGCAAGCTCACTAACCACCCCCCACCCCCACCCCACAGATATTCCTTCTATTTATTCCTGAAATGCCTGCTGTTTTCATGTTTTGTATTCCTCAGATTATTCCCATTTATTTTACTTGGATTCTGTAACCACTGCAATGTCATTTGTTTTCTTTGGTCTAATAATTTTGAGCATCCTTCATCGAACCATGGCTTATGTTTCTTCAGTTCATAATAACCTAGACTCTCCTTGGCAGAAAGTTTGATATTTTCTCTAATATTTTCCAAGTTTTCCAATGCCGCAAACCTATTTGAGATTTCAACACGATACTGCTCTTTACTCTCTACCGCATTTAATTGAGAATGAACCTCTCCATATGAACTCTGTGTGTTGTTTGTTTGCTCACTGCCAGTCTTTCCCTAAGCTTTGCCACCACCAGGTAGTGGTCAGTATCACAATCTGCTGCCCTGAATGATCGGCCATCAGGTATACTTGAATGCTGTCTCCTATCTGTCAAAATACGGTCGATTTGATTGTGTATCTTCCCATCAGGAGAAGTCCAAGTAAATTTATAAATGTTACAATGTGGAAACATTGTACTTTTGTCAGTCAGATTTTTGGATTTGGGGAACTTGACTACCCTAACTGCATTATAACTTCTAATTTTGTGCAAACCCTTGTTCCGTTTACAAACTGCTTATTCCCAGTTGTTGGCAATCGCAAGAGATATTCTCTTCACATTCCAGAAAATAGTACCCTTAATATTGATTTTGTGTTTCCTGCAGGGCATCCCAGAATAATACAAAGGAGCCCAGCTTTTATTCTGCCAGGCTGTCTTCAAAAACAACAAAAACAGTCTAAATATTGGGGCATTGTTAGACAGACAGACAGACACCTAAAAGTTAAAAAAGATGTTCTGGGAAGAATTAATCACCAACTTTCATTTGATACTACACAGATGTCACAGGAAATGGAAGAATCAAGGGGGATATGCAGACACACTGACAGCAGGGTGATCTCATAAGCCTCCTATTTCAGAATAAGGAAAGTGGTCTAAAAAGAGGTGCTCCCCTGATAATTGCTTTTTATTAGTTGAAGCATCTTGGGCTGTTGAAAGAAATATATTAAGTTGTTATTGGTTTATATTTATTAANCAAGTATACTTGAATGCTGTCTCCTGTCTATCAAAATACGGTCAATTTGATGGTGTATCTTCCCATCAGGAGATGTCCAAATAAATTTATAAATGTTACAATGTGGAAACATTGTACTTTTGTCAGTCAGATTTTTGGATTTGGGGAACTTTACTACCCTAACTGCATTATAACTTCTAATTTTGTGCAAACCCTTGTTCCGTTTACAAACTGCTTATTCCCAATTGTTGGCTTGAAACTTCTATCAGACTACTTGGCAATAATCCCAAGAGATATTCTCTTCACATTCCAGTCTCAGCTGCCAGTGTCTTACAACAGTGCCTCACAACAGCTGAGCCCTAGCACTCACTCACCAACCAACTCTTCTCCACTAACTAACTCCCAGGCTGGCAGCCACCTGACACCAATCTCCTCCTCTTCTTACTGCCATCTCAAGGCTCAAGGCTCAAGACTCAAGACTCAAGACTGTCTTATGTAGCCTTGGCATGGACCACGCAGAAAACACCTCTTCCAACACTTACTTCATTGTTCCATACACAACCATTACATAGAAATGGCTGTTTCTCTGGCTCCTTAGTTTTTCTTCAATCAAATGTGGCACAGTATAATGTTTTGCAGCTGTATGTGAATTAAAGTGAATGTATGTTCTGGTCTAGTTCTATAACACTAGGATTTTACTGGAACTGTCAGAAGATCTACTGACATTTTTGAATGCTGATAAACTTTTATAATACTATTTGTTTCTTCAAAATAAATTTTTAGGAATGTGTCTTTCATTTGTAATGACTCAGCATTTAATTTATCTGGAATACTTTCTCAACTCTGTTATACCTAATCCGGTGGATTTTTGTAGCATGAAGTGAACTCATGTGAATGGATGTTTGGGTCTAGTGGTATAACAGTAGGATTTTTTGGGTATGTCAGAAGATCTACTGGCATCTTTTAATACTGATAAATGCCTCAGCATTTTATTCATCTTGCAGGCTTTCTCAGCTCTCTTATACCTTATCCAGTGTTTTTCTTTGTAACATGATTTTATGATGTTCCAGGGAACATAATTGGAGATGGCCCACAGCTTCGGGACTATGTAATTAGTCTGGGTGTAGTCCACCCTTTGCTCACCTTTATCAAGCCCGAGATCCCAATCAGCTTCCTGCGGAATGTGACATGGGTGATTGTGAACCTTTGTCGAAACAAAGACCCACCTCCACCTGAGCAGACTATTAAGGACATCCTACCAGCTCTGAACTTACTGATCCATCACACCGATATTAATGTGAGTTTTTGGGGCCCAGCAGCATTCCTGCTCTGTAGGTGACATGTTTTTTTTTTATAGCAACTGTGAGATAGGCTCCTGATAGTATATGCACATTCTCATCAGTTAGGTTGTGTTTCTGGTAGACATTTGCAGTCAGTGCTTGTATTGCACTGTTTCCTTGGGCACTGTTGACATTCTGATTGTGGATCTTCAGTTCCCACTTCGGAATATTTATATTGCTGTTATGTGCAAATACAAATTGTCAATTTTTATGCTAACTTTACCATGACAAATTGCAACTGTGTTGGTTGTTCAGTAAAGTTTATGGATACACACCAGAGGCCTGGGGTTAAGTTCCCAGGAAAGGTTGTGTCCAGAACACACCTTAGGTTTGAAACCCAGTTTTCTCATCCCACAGTAGAAACATTTGAAATTCTTGCTTTTTGAGTCAGTTACTTGAGATGGAAGAAGTGCATGTGTTTTGGACATGCAGCAAGCTCCTATCAGACAGAAGAAGTGGCAGTAAGTTAGAGATTTGTGGTGTCATTTTCACATGGTACCAGAATGAATGTACAAGTTTAGAGCACTCCAGGTTGTTATCTTGAGGTTTGATTTTTAAATGGATGGAAATGTTTGCCACTTCCATTCTGAGTATGAGTATGAGGCGTGAGCCATAGAAACTGGCCCTTGCACTGTGACCTTCAATGATCTATTGTGCTTCCCCTTTGGATTAACCCTTTATTAATCCTACACTTTGAATGAAATGTAGGACTTTATTTATGGGGGCGTCATAAAAATCACTTAGTTCCATGAAGAATTGACCCAGATGGCGATATCTTAGATAAGCTACAGCCTCACAATCACATAAGATGTGTGTGGCTGATTCATCTTCTTTCACGAGTTGGGTCATATATCAGCCCATTTGGAAAGGTGCCCTTTTAGGTGGCAGTGTCCAGTAAGTAATCCTACCGCCCATCTGAGTTGATCTCTCTTTAATTTTAACAGGTCCATTGTTCTTTTGGCAGAGCATCCTGATATAAATCATTTTGCCTGTTTGAGTCCAGTTGTGGGTTTGCAGTGTTTTTGGGGATTTCTGTTAGTCCAGTCCCTGATTGCTTTCTTGGCAACTCCAATTGAGATGCTGCAAGCTAGTTCAGGTCCTATGAATGGCTGTTTAAATCCTGTTCCTGCCAGCTGATCTGCGGTTTCTTTCCCAGCAATACTCTCCTACTGAGATGCTGCAAGCTGGTTCCGGTCCTGTTCTTGCCAGCCGATCTGCGGTTTCATTCCCTGCAGTACTCCTACTGAGATGCCGCAAGCTGGTTCAGATCCTTTTCTTGCCAGCTGATCTGCGGTTTCATTCCCAGCAATACTCTCCTACTGAGATGCCGCAAGCTGGTTCAGATCCTGTTCTTGCCAGCTGATCTGCGGTTTCATTCCCAGCAGTACTCTCCTACTACTGAGATGCCGCAAGCTGGTTCAGGTCCTATGAACGGCTGTTCAGATCCTGTTCTTGCCAGCTGATCTGCGGTTTCTTT